AAACAATTATTTTCTATATTTTAATATAGGACGAACTATATTCTATGTAAAATAATGTTTGACGCGGAAGCTTATTACGTGTTGACCAATCATATTGCGTAGTTCAAACCTACGCATACTGCATTGGCTGTAAGCAGCATGCTGATTGGCTGACGATGACGTGGCTGCATTCCTGTGCAAGGCACGCATTCCTCTGCAAGGCACTCTTTTCGGAACGAGAAATGGAATATCTTCGTCTAGGGTGATCGTTGAGCCGTAAAAGCTCCTGATTTGTGCTAGTCTCAGCTCAAGCTACGAAACTGCTATTCCAGTTTAAAACCCCATGTTAAAAGTGAACTATTTCCTTTAAATAATTTTTCATCGTGAAAAAAATTATTTGCAGCAGAATAACAAAGCTTTGTAGACATTTCTAAAGTGGCTGCTACAAGATTGACGCTCTGGATCCCGTGTTGTTGTGAAGAGGCACTCTGACTTCTGCTCTGACTCATAAGTCATATATTGAGTGAAACTCTGACCTCTGACTCAGGGTATATTGAGTGACTCTGACTATTCTACGGAGTGGTAGGTTCAGGGGTGTTTGTGGGCTTATGATTTTCAATTTATTTTTGGTTTAGTAGTCAAACCATAGCTATGTTTTCTGATCATTTTCACAGTTTCAGAGCCCTGGTTCATGTTCTCAGTTCTCACTGCTTAGTGCTTAGTCTGGTGAAGGCGGTCTAATTTTATTCAGACTAACATTACTCCAGCTCGACCTTTTTTGTTATTTCCTTTGAATCCAAAGCAGACTCCTCCCAAGGCTTTTTCCTAACCTCATTTAAATTCTTATCTGCCTGCTCTCTCACCCTTCTAAGTACCACTTAGCACCATCCCTGACACTGGACAAGTCAACTGCATATCTGAGGGTTGGAACGAGACAGACTGAGACTGCAAAGTTGGATGCTTGAGTTGAGACTTGAGCCGGAGCCAGAGCCTGACGATTGTGTGTCCCAACCTGCAAACAAGGGTACTCTCTTAGCCGATGTCGCCCTTGCTGCCATATCTACGTCTTGTGTGCGCCGCCGTTGTCTTTTTACAGTTCCATATATAACCAAACATTATCTAACCTGACCTAACCCTACCTACAACCTATCATCCTACAACCTACCAACCTACAACCTACCACCTAACCTAACTAGATATGACAGCAAGGGCGACATCTGCTAAGAGAATACCCAAAGAAGAAGGCAATGCCTCTCACTCTGATGGGCCTTGCCCCTATGGTACTCAATTTGGTACCCAATGTGGAAACGGGAAATGGGATAGGCTGAGGCACAAATATGAGAGGCTATGCTTGAAATATCTAGAAATTATATGAACATGCACCCCTAGAAGGTAAAGTAACATTGCACTTTCCATTAATCATCATTCCCTACATCTCTGGAAATTCCTAATATTTTGTGATTTCATATTAAACTTAAAATTTTGTCTCTGATGGGTGTCATTCTGTATGTACCTACCTATCAGTAGGTATAAGTCCAAGCCCTAGCAATGAATTCTGTATTTTAACAGTAATGGTATGGCATGGCATGATAAGAGTGGCTTTGATATCCTGAAAGTAACCATTTCAGCCTATGGATAATTTTCAGAATGGTAGGAACAATGATGATAGTTTTCAGGTTTTCAGGCATTCAGAAAAGATGCTTACCTTCTTTTCACCAGTAAAATGCCTGTTTGAATATTCATGCACTAACCAACTTATTTTGCCTTTTTTCAGTAAACAAAGAATCTTACTTTTGACAGCGAAGAGTGTATTTCACTACAAGATGAAGAGATTCATTGGTAAGATGCATATGTATGTATAATGGTCATCCTACCACATCAAATATGTGTACCAGTAAAACGCCTTTTGGGCGAAGAACGAGCGAGCGAGATAGTGAGCCCTGCACGTGCGGAAGGGCGAGAGGGTGCTTCCAACGGGCTTGTGCAAAGCATCCTTCTAACCGGTCGCTAGCGGTGTGCCAAATTTGAACGCAATCGGCCCAGCCGTTCCTGAGATCTGGAAGCGGCATTCTGCACGTGCGCACGTGCAAACGGGGTCCAAAATGACTTTTGCACGGCACCCTACTAACTGGTCCCCAACCGTGTACCAAATTTGAGCGCAATCGGCCCAGCCGTTCTCGAGATCTGGAAACGCCCCCTGCACGTGCGCACGTGCAGTAGCACCCTAACCGAAACACATGGGAATGCATTGCCTGGTGGGTGCCTACCTGTATGCCAAGTTTCAGCGAAATCGCCCCAGTAATTACCGAGCTACTGAAATGGGAACAAATTTGGCACCTCTTATTGTTGTATTTTGCACGTGCAGTGGGGGTCACTCACATAGATGAAGAGTATCCGACCTTTGGTAGAAGGGATGCAGCTACCCTATAAAAATGACCGCAAGACAATCGCTCAAGCCGCTGCTGAGATATGGGCCTCTCAAAATCATTACTTTTGCAAAACTGCTTGAACACCCTTGACTTTTCACGTGGCACGTGCCACAGCGGTCGCTGAGATGTATCAAAAGTAGTCAATTACGGGGTAGAAGGGATGGGGCTACCCAACAAAAAAGACCGCAGGCCAATCGGTCCAGCGGTTGCTGAGATATAAGCCTCTCAAAAGCGTTACAGGCCGGGCCGGGCCGGGCCGCTCATACTGAGATTTTTCCGTTATATTGAAAAGACTCACTTCGCTCGCTGCGCTCGCTCGCTCGTAATTATTTTATTTCACATTCTTTATTTCACCATCTTTTCTAATTTCTCCACCAGCCAATGCCTGTTGGCGAGCAAAAAAGACACAAATCAAATGTACTTAAGTGAGACAGTGACACATCTATAGCAGTGAATATACATGCATTGTACGCGTATTGTGTATTGTATTGCACGCGTTACACCCTGTGTATTGTAAGGCAGTTTTTTTCGATGATGCAACCAGCTGCAGGGTCCATCATTTAAAGTAACCATCCCACCTTAAATTAGTTTTGAGTTGAGATAGCCAAAATAGGGTCCCTGGCTTGCACTTACTGGTTTGAGCACTCACAAGATTGAGAAATGACTCAAATCGAAAATATCTAATTTCAAAGTTGCAGCACTTGGATTCAGAGGGGCTATTGCATTAGAATGCTCCCTCTGAATGTGTGACATTAGCGCGGATCTAACGATTTTAAATCTTTTACTAAAACGTTTGGTAGCACGCAGTGGTAGGTATATGCTGCTTTGCATGCACTTTCAAATAAAGTCGCTAGGAACAGCGGAGATCCCAAAAAGCAAACAAAAGTAAAAGTCTAATTTGTTGAAAACCGGTGAACATTTTTCGATGAAGTTTGGTAGATTCGTTTTCGCTCTTACTGAACCGAGGGACATCACTTTCATGCCAATTCATCAAGTTTTTTTGAAGGTGGGAGAGTCCTTCTTTAGTAAAAGGGTCAATCATTCATTAGTGAGGACTGTGAAGCACATAAATAAACCACCACCACAGATCATCTAGGCAGTCACTTAAAAAAAAAAATCAGGCACAACCATATGTCTTTATACTTAGGAGACAAGTGTGAAGTTTACCAGTTCTATTGTGGATAAGTGGGTAGTAGGAGCTGAAGATCAACAGCTTTTGCTCTTTGTTATCTGTAAGAATCTTGCTCTTTGTAACAGCAGTATTTTCCCTTGCTCCTCAGATATTGGGGCCAATCTGACCGATGCTATGTACCAGGGCATCTACAATGGTTCAACAAAGCATCAGCCAGACCTGGCTAATGTTTTAGAGCGTGCATGGAATGTTGGACTGAAGAAAATCATCATAACAGCTGGCCGCCTTGAGGAGACACAAGAGGCTTTGAAGCTGGTGAAAACTGACGGTAAGTCTTCACAAGCATAAGCCAAATATTTTAGTATTCAACATTTTAGGAAGAAGTGGCAATCTCACTTTTTCGTTGTTGACATTTTCGTAATTTTGGGTGCATTTCTATAATACGATTTGTTCCATGAGTAGCTAAAACTCTGACTCTCTGACTGAACTCTGACTACTCTGACTGCATCCGTAAATGGGTAATGTGCCTGTGGATTGCTTTTATGAAATAAACAATAAACAATAAACAATAAAAGGAAGTTGTTGCAGAAAATAAGAGGTAATTGACATGCTATTCCATCCTTCCGATGGAGCTGGCGCACCCTGAGAAGCTTCAGTCAGTTGATGCTAGTTGAGGTGTTGTCAATAGGCCTGTTACCTCCACGCAAGCTGCGATGCAGGCCAGAACACTACAGCGGTATCTGTTAGCAGATGGCTAGGGTCCCCGGGGCAATGTTGGGCGGCATTCATCCTCCCTCAGGGCCGCTGCATCGAGTGCGAACTGCGATACGGTGGGCCCTTTACAAACTAACAAACTTTGTAAACGTTGCCACTTGCCCCTCCCTCCCCCTCTTACCCCGAGGGGCTGAACCAGCCGACCGGCCACCAGCTCTGGGCACCTCTAGTTTTTCCCTAATGAAATGCAGTATGGAAAAATGTCAGTCTATTTAGTTACATCATTTTCTATCTCATTTTCACCGCGACCACGCATTTGTGTAAAATACTACTAATTACATCATGTGTAGTGGGCATCATTGCAGTATTATTTCATATTTCTGTTCGGATCGTCGAGAGTGTTGAATGTGCGATGACCGCTAGCTAGTCTATCCTGCATGTCGTTATGACCTTTTGGCCGTTTATGCACGCTGTGGCGGCGGCTCGATCGTAACACATCAGGGGGCTTTTTCTATTTTGGCACCTAATGTAACTCGGCTTATGGGCCCCGTGGGAATAGCCAGTAGTGACATTAAAAAAGCTTCGAAAATCTTAAAAAAGAAACTTATATTTTTTTTCAGCCAGGCCGAAAATCAGATCATCAACGTTCAAATATTCCCGCGTTTGATGTTCTTGGACTTGTTTACTAATAGCTCGTGGCACAGCTCCAACCTTGTGTGACATGTGATGTATGAAAAGTGACTTACCGTTCGCGCGTGCCGTCGGGCTGACAGAAGGTTCACTTTCACCACCAGACTACAATCCGCCACGATATCCATCGCTGGATCTGGAAAAGATGTTCGTTGTACATTTTCATTTTATTGGACCAGATATGTTCGTATTAGATATTTTGTAATCTGATGTCTATGCCGCCAACATTTTTTTTTTGCATATTAAATATTTACCAAGTTAACACCTTTTGGGCCATTGCCTTGTAATTAGATCAATATGCCGATTGACTGTTTCCTTGAACCTGAAACTTTATGAAGTTCCTACGAGAACTTACATAGGCATACCTGCATACCTCAATATACAAAAGAATGCTAAGCAGTAAGCACTACAATTAACCTTCGCCCCAGTGGGGGGATATGTTACCTTACCACCCTGTCGCGTTTTTTTTTTTGTGCGTGAAAAAAACCGCGGCGCGTAGCGCCGCGCCGCTTGGAGTATCTTTCTGTATAGTCGACTACAGAATGATGTCGAACCCCTCAGCTTCTGAACTCCTCAGAAGCTATCGGTTGACCGGAGCGCTAAGTTGTGCCGTTTATCACGCAATTAAGCGTGTCGATTGTGAGCATTGGGACAAAGCTATAATTTGTGAACTCAGCACGTATGACGCGGCACAGCCTACCACTTTAGGCAAATACGCAGTACGCACGCTCCAATCCGCGATAGCAGCGCAGCGCGTCACTCCCCCGCCCTCCTTCCCCCACAATCATACAATGACCGGTGACCTCACTTCCCTCGGCATTTGGACTCGCCCTACCCAGGGGGGTACGCTCCGGCTATTTAGCATTACGAAAAGTGGTGACAGACGTTTGTGGAGGATTGTCGACGAACTCTTGTTCCGCGAGCAGCACTCACGCGCTAGCGGAAAATCCACCAATCAGCGCTCGGCAGTGCTCGACGCTGATTGGCCCGACGCTCGTGACGAAATTGCGGGGGACCGCAGTTATTCTCTATGGACCCGAATAGGCTTTTGGATTTCGGAGGGGTTTCTTTTAGATTATATGCTGTTTCGAGCTGTTTTCGAGTTGAAATATATTTCTTATGACTGTTAGCTATATAATGGCACCATAAAATCATGATTTTGATTAATATTACCGATGTAATATCGGCCCAAAAGACATGCTGTCATGGCACGGGCTGCCCTGCGGCTGATGTGGGGCCCCTAGTGCCAGCGTATGGTAATGATGGGTTGACGAAGGGTTATTGGAGACTCTTAGAGCCCCACCAGGATTCAGTATAGGGTCATCAGAGGCCGGGAATGTCCATCAGGGGTCTGAGTAGGCCTGCCATAGGGGCATACATGACACATCATGGAACATGGGTCAATCTAGATCCATTAGGGGCCGTTGAAGGGCCATCATTGTTCAGCGTGGGCCCGCAATTACCTCTGATGGGCATATGCCGTGCCCCGGTGGACTAACGCTGGCCCCTGATAAAACATCACCAGCCCCTGATAGGTCTACAAAGCCCCCTGCTGGGTCTAAATTGGTCACTGATATGCCCAAATGGGCCACTGAGAAACCCGTACAACATCCCCTGACTGCACCTGATGGACCAATGCCGTTCCCTCATGGGCCCACCACGGCTCTTGAATGGCCTCTTCAAGTCCCTGAAGCGCCTTTATTGGCCTAAATGGACCCCTGATTGGCTTATGTGGTCCCTAATGGTCCTATATGGCCCCCATGAGCCCTCAACGTCCCTAAACAGCCTTACATTATATGCCACCGGCCCCTGGTAGGCCTGCACTGGACCCGCTGGGCCTATACCGACCCATAAATGGCCCATGTCGAGCCCTCATGGACCTCCGATGACCACACGCCGGTATGTGTGGCCCCATATCAGCAGTGGTCCGTCTATCCCATGTACTTACTGTCTTTTTGGCCGATGTGACACCGGTAGTATATAGAAATGTCATGATTAAATGTCGTTATTATATAGTCAAAGGTCACGGAAAGAATATCCAAGCTCAAAAATGGCCTCAAACCCAACAAAAACTGATGCAAATCCCTTTCAAAAGTCGTAATTCTATTAAACGCCATAGGGTTATAGCTGCAGTCCCCCGCAATTTCGTCACGAGCATCGGGCCAATCAGCGTTGAGTATTGCCGAGCGCCGATTGGTCGATTTCCGCTAGCTTGTAAATGCTGCTTGCGGATATAGTCTTGAACAAGTGAGGGTCGCGGCAACTAATTATCGCTTGTCACCACTTTTTCGTCGGGAGCGTTCTACCTGGTTTATATAGCCTTGGCCCTACCTAGTACCTACCCCGAACGTAGCGCCACGCGGTGGCTCTGGAGATCTTAAATAGACCCACTGCAACTGTACCTACTAGCGCCACACCATAACGCAAAACTACTTAACTCTACTTCGAAATAAGAAAAAAAAGAGATGACAGTACATATGCAATCATGAAACAAACTACAAAAAAAAAATATCAAAGCATGGCTAGGGCACGTCATTTGTAAACGTTGAATAAAATAAACATTCTTACCGCATCATCGAAGCAGCCGCCCCCATTGAAACACGCCAAACCAACGCCAAACAAATATGGCGACTCGGCTGCGCTCCGACCCCGAGGTCGGTCGGCCGGCGCGAGCTCTGATTGGTCAGAATAAGCGGCGTCCTCATTGGTGGAGATGTGGCCGGCCGGTTCTCTGATTGGTCGCAGCCGAACATCCGCATGACATGAAAATTTAACTTACCTAATTACACATGTCAAAATTTTACAAAAATATAACCAAACATGCGATACCTAATTATTGATACTTACATTGAATTGAATAGCATTGCAATGTATAAGAAAATTATTGATTTTGATATTGTCTATGGATATTATTAGTACTTCATAATTTTTCAGAACGCTGCGACAGCAGAGCCAAGGCTATATAAACCAGCAGAGCTGACGATTTCTTAGCTTTAGAGCACACGTTCGTAGAGTAGGCCACGCTTACAAGTTTTATTGGCTAATGGCTACTGCACTGCAGTCAGTGGACATTGGCTTTTCGGTGATATTCGGTTACACAGCCCTGATACCACTTACCAGTGAATTATTTGTGAACTAATTCCAGGTCCTATGGAAAGTTCAGAAATAGCTGTTCCGGTCTGTGACGTGGTCGAGACAGAACAGAGGGGCTGACCCGGGGTGCGGTCAGGCGGCTCCGGCCGGGTCGGCCCACGGCGCCTCAGTCGCCGCGCCGGTCCCGCCCGCCGGCTATGTGTGACCTGGGCGGGCCAGGGTAGACGGCGGCTCGTACGGGCTACGGTTGGCGCCGGGGGCTGGCGCAGGAACATACACATATAGTCACTTTATGACATCCGCCGTCCCACTGCACTGCGTCTACACAGCCCCACCTGTTATCCAGCGTCTGGCGGCACCTCTCTCCCGGCGTGCAGCCCACTGCCCTGCCTGCTCTGGCTCGGCGCTGACCGCTCTCCTGTTCCAGAGGAGCGGCTGTTCACCACGGTGGGCGTGCACCCGACCCGCTGCGGCGCGTTCGACGACTCCGGCGATCCGGAGCGCCACCTGAACGCGCTGCGGACGCTGATCGAGCAGAACCGGCGGCACGTGGTGGCCGTGGGCGAGTGTGGACTCGACTACGACCGGCTCCAGTTCTGCGACAGGGACACGCAGCGCAGGTGGGCGGGACGAGCGAGGTCCCGGCGGGGCAGTCGGAGTCAATACCGTGGCGATGGTAGATGTGTGGGTAATTTGAGCCGTTATCGGCGGCTTTATTACTAAATGACGTTATAGTAATCATTAATGGCTTTTGGTCAAGTGAACAGTATTTTTAGCATATTTGGTGATCAGGTACTGGGATCAGCTGGCTGCGCTATATTTTATTAAAATGGCTTCTGCTGCCGTTAACCACCAATGCCAATCAATATACCATTTGTGCCATCAGGTATAGGTACGAATACGACAAATTCACTCGCAAACCGCAACCAGTTGGCCTTATTGATATTAGATGAGCTGGTGCCGTGCATTGAGTGTTGTCGGTGATTACTAATTGTGTCTTACGAATCCGGCAGTTACTCCTGATCGTGTTCTCAGGTACTTTGAGCGGCAGCTGAGTCTGAGTGAGAGCTCGAAACTGCCGCTGTTCCTGCACTGCCGCGCCAGTGCTGCCGACCTGGTGGACGTGCTGCGAACTAACGCCGGCAAGTGTCACGGCGGCGTGGTCCACTCGTTCGATGGCAGCACGGAGGAGGCTGAGCAGATCATGGCGCTGGGATATCACATCGGAATCAACGGATGGTGAGGCTCACCGCCCAATGTGTACTGGCGTTCAATCACCACTGCCTGAACCGCGGATCACCATTCCATTCTGGCGCTGAACGACACAATAATTGCTCAATAATTTATGTTCCGAGTTTATTTGTATATCAAAGTAGGTGATTGCAATTTGCAATCCAGGGCGACATTTCCCACTGTCTAAACTCATCCAGTTTTCTGTCATACTCTCCTTTCCAGGCTGCAGTAATTTATCCCGATAGTCGTGTATGATTCCGCCGGGTCCCGCCCACCCTGACCCGCCGTGCCGCCGTTTTTCCCGGCGGCGCAGCTCGCTGAAGACGGCGCAGAACCTCTCTGTGGCGGCGGCGCTGCCGGCCGACCGGCTGCTCCTGGAGACGGACGCGCCCTGGTGCGAGGTGCGGTCCACGCACGCCGGCAGCGCGCACCTGCAGCCCACGCCGGCCGACGCCGCGCCCCTGAAGAAGGAGCGCTGGCAGCCCGACCGACCCGTCAAAGGGCGAAACGAGCCGGCCAACATCACGTGAGCTCATCCCCGGTCGGGGAGGGGGGGGGGGGGGACGCTGGCGCTCGGGCGAATGGGAATTTAACTATGTGTGGTGTCATTTCTCTGGGCTGAAGAACTACAATGCAAGTATTTCAGCGCACATGTGTGGCGGAAGCAGGCTAAGAAAGGGTCAGTTTGACTCGCATATTTCTATTGGGCTTTGCCGGGCCGTTTGAGCACGTTTGTAACAAAATTCAATGTTTTCTTTGACGATTGAGCCGACTTCGCCAATTATGCCTATCTTCAGTTTCAGGTGTCTTCAGTTTCAAGTGTTATTAGGCCTGGCTACACTATGCGTTTTCTGCGTGCGTTTTTTGCGTGTTTGCGTGATTTGCGTGATATCGTTCTAGAAAAAAAGATATTTCTAATATATCTTCTTTAATATTTATTTAAAAGTTAATAAAACTTTTATAATAATTAAAAGTGTATATGAAAAACATATAACAAATACGTAATGTCGTTTCTTTCTAGAACGATATCACGCAAATCACGCAAACTCGCAAAAAACGCACGCAGAAAACGCATAGTGTAGCCAGGCTAGGGTGTTTCACATTTTCAAAGTGCCATATTGCGAGTCATATCGATGTTCCCCTCAAATGTCATCTGCTCACAAGTTTCTGTGTAAAATTTCACTTCATTCTAATGATGTTTAGAGGTCGCACATTTCTGCGACTTTTCATCTCTGATTCTGTTTCTGGCCGTAACATGAGTAGTCTTCCTGCGAACTGATTTGGTTGAGAAAGCCAGGCAGTGGCGGCGGAATAGGGGGTGCAGGAGGTGCAGCTGCACCCTCATCGAAAAACATGGGGGTGCAAACATATCTTTTTTGCACCCCCAAAATCCATACAAGGGGCCCGTCGCACCATCCAATACATTTTCTCCTGAAAACCAGTGATCGGGAAACGAACACTGATGTGGAATCATCCGGGGTGTCTATTTATGGTCAGGAGCGCCCCATGCTAGTCGGGACCTCCACACCGGCTAGAAGTGTCCCGAGCCGCGTTTGGTGCTCCACACGGCATCTGAGGGCCCCCACGACGGCCTCAGAGGGCCCTTTTATGACGATCTCTGAGGGCTCCCACCTGACGAACTCTGTCCCCTGGGGCCCTATAACGACCACTAAGGGCCCTCATGACGACCGCTGAGGGTCCCACAGGACTCCAGGGGCCCCACTGGCCCCTGAGGGTCTCTACGACGGTCTCTGAGGGCCCTCGTGATGGCCCTAGACCCAACTCAAGTCTGAGGGCCCATTTGGCTTCAGGCGGCCCAGCGACGGCCTCTGAGGGCCCCAACACAACCACGCTGCGGGGGCTATGCTGGCATCTGAGGGCTCTGCAACGGTCTATTGAGGGCGGCAGGGCCCTAACAACGATGGCCTGCGAGTCGTGGAACTCAACCGGAAGGCGCTGCCCAAGCGCACCAAGGAAGGATGTGCCCCCTTCTCTGTGTAATGAGTTTTGGTGACAAAAGTGTGCGACCCCTAAATATACTTAAATTTGGGTTTCAAGCGTATCAATCGATTCAGTTTTACGGGTAGAGTTGGGGCAAAGTCGATATGGCTGAGTTTTGAACCAACATTATTTTACCATAGTGTAATGAAACACCCTAAGCCAGGCCTTTATCAGAGGCATTGAATGACAGAGGCCCGTGATTTTTCTTTGTTTACAGGCAAGTTCTTGACGTCTTAGCAGGTGTGCGAGAGGAAGACGCCGATGCACTGGCGGAACAGGTCTATGCCAACACGATGCGGCTTTTCTTCCCAAACGAGGTTTAGAGGGGACTGGTGCTGCTACTGTGATATATTGAAACATAACGTGGTGATAATACATTGTTTCTTATGTGTGCATGTTTTTTTAAAATAGCATTTGCGGTTGACTAGGCAAGGATAGTCAGCCATTCAGCATGAGGAAGGCTGAACGAATGCCTAATACTGTACGGAAAACGTGAAGTCGCCCATCAGTAGAAACGAAGCTAGTACATGTCAGCAGTAGGATGTACATCGCACACTGCACAGTGCACAGCCCTCTGCACACTGCGTGGTAGGTATTCTTTTTCGACCAAACAACCGATATTAACTAATACTATGCTATCACTCGGAAATCGTAACAGCAAGACGCGCGAGACCCCGCACCTTAGAAATAGATTGGGCTTATCATGGTCTTCGAGTTATTATCGGATTCGTCGAAAAAAGAATACCCGCCACGCAGTGTGCAGAAGGCTGTACGTAGAGTCACAGGACTACAGGAGGTCATTCAAACGCACTAGATTAGCAAGCTTGGCTTGTCTAATATTTCAATGTCCATATTGTATAGCGTTAGATTGGATCGATTGGATAATATTGGATAATATAACCACTGCTTCTCATTTTTAAGGACATCACGCTTTGAATGTGATTTACGCCGACTTCCGTAAAACCTTTGTCTTGGTCTTTATTTCAATGTCCTTAGTTTTTTTTCTAACTCTTACGATATCTCCTTTGCGTATATTTTGCTGTTGTAAGGTATTTTGCAGTAAAATAAATGTGCTTATATACTGCGGCGTTTCTAGCGAACCAGTTACCAAAGTGACGCGAAAAAAGCACGTGTACCAGATTGGTACCAGACGTGTACACTAGTTAAGATGCATTTTTTGTGATTATTTGAGTTGGATGAAAGTAGGTTGATATCTTGCTTGTTGGTGAGTGATAAAGATGAACAAGCACTTCTTAAAGTTCAACTGTTTTTCATTTGTATTCTTCTTTCGTATCTT